GGGGGGTGTGCAGGAGGCAGCTGATCGATGCTTCTCTCTCATCGATGTTTCTAATTCTCTATCCCTCTCCCTTCCTCTCTCTAAAAAATCAATAAAATATATATTTTTAAAAATGGCTGTGGTCAGCAGCACATATGTCATGGCCCAGCGTTGTCCATGCAGGGATGCTGTGTCTAATCTGGAGAAAGGGCACACAGAGCCACACCTGTCATTTACTAGGTGTATGGCCTTTGGGTGGTCCCTAAACTCCTGTCTGGGGAGTAGGTGATGTTTGTTTCCTCACTGGGACGTGGTAATGACACCTGCTGTGTGAGTGGTATGAGAATTAGGTCTAGGATGGTGCCTTACAAACTGTGGCTCTCACTTAACAGCAGTTTATTCCAGGGTTGGGGATCTACTTCATTTTCCTGAAGCCAATCCCCAGGACATTGTGAATTTGAAATATTTCTGAAAAGGGCTGGTGAAAACGAGCAGTAATGCAGCAGGCTCTGTAGCCATACTATCTGGCTGTGATCCTAGCTCCATCACTGTATGTCCTTGGGAGGCTATTTAATGGCCCTATTCCTTAGATGGGATGTCATTTGTAAGATGGAGATGCTAATGGTACCCGTTGTAAGGTGAGTGAAGATGCCAATAGCACTTGTTAGGTGAGAGAATAAATATAAATATTTAAACAACCACAGGTTGAGAACCGCTGGCTTAGAGGACATTTTAAGTACCCTGACTGTAAGCAGAATTAGTGCTCTTGGCTCCCGTGGTAACCTAGGGCAAAAACTGAGCTTCCAAATCAGGGGAGAAGCTGTGTTACTATATATAAACACAGAGAAATCTCACTCCTGGGTAACTCTTTGTATACAGGTCTAGCTAGATATGTTGGCCAACATACAGATCAGAAAAAATAGAGAATTTGGGGGGCTGGTTCAGGCCAAGTAAGGTCCCGGAATAAAAATAACCTGCCATTGACACTGGGGAATAATTATTCTATTGTCACGGGCTATGAGGTATCATGGAATGCTATGATTCTGAGATTTGCTTGTTGCACAATAGATAATGTTTGCTTACTTTTCCTTTATTTCTCTATTTTTCTTTATAAATATTCCTGTTTATCAACTGAGGTGGAGCTCATGCAACTGAGGAAACTGATGGTAACCTATTCAGCTATCTAGGGGAAAGGTTTCCCCTGGTTGTTAAGTGGAGGCTTGTGTTAAGGGAAGTGTCACAACCTCATAGAGTAGCTTGGTCTGGAGCATCCCAAGCCCAACAACAATACAAAAGAAAAGGTGAGAGGTATTTAAGTTGCTCTTTAGTCTTCTTCATTAGCAGCAGCAGAGAGTGTGGAATAGATTAATCCATCCTATTTGAATCAGTTCATCCAAGGTTGGAATTAAAAGCAATTTGTCCATGTTTGTGGGTTTTCAGCAGTTGCTAGTGCAAGCCTCTAACAAGACAAGCAAAATCTATTATGAAAAAGAAAAATGAAAACTTATTACCTCATGTTGTAATACTTTACTGACCAATTTTTAGAGCTAGTAGTAATAATGTAAGTATATTTGCTCATCATTTATGGACACAGTTTTGTCTCTGAAATTGAAATTGAAATGGGGACAGAATCTGCTCTCCTTTGATGCATTAAAGCTTATTATGGCAGTTTAATTTGTCATCTCACTTGATTCAACTTATGCTAAATATAACAACCTTTTCCAGAGCAATCCCACTCAAAAAATCAGTGGAGACATTCTAAAGAACATAGAAAATAAAAATGAAATGAAATAAAACCAAGTGACATTTTAAGACTACAGTGTAGTGGTTACATAGGAGGAGGGCAACAATGGGGTGACCCTGAGAATTAGGCTATGGAAGGAAGTAGCCTTTTGCCAGCTGAGCACACGTAATGGGTAACCCAGTATGCAGTCCCCTCTCATGCAATGCAGAGACTTGACTTTAACCTGTCCTCATGAAAGGTTTTAACACAACGAAGGGAAGACTGTCTCCGTCAGAAAGGGAATTGGTCACACACTGATGTTTGGGAATGGTAGCATGGATAGAGTCAGTGAGGCAAAAGCTGGCGGTGGACATGCGAGTACTGTCCAGAGAAAGGTTGCCCTGGCCCCACACACAACCCTTCTGGTCCAAGAGGAAGACAGGCCACATGGTGCAAATGGATGCATCAGGAAATTATAAGCTGACCCAGTTAAACATCAGCCTTGTTGCTTGCTGAGCAACTTTCAATTAAATTGGCTTCATTGTAGTTTGTCTAGGACAGCAGTGGTTCTCAACCTGTGGGTCGCAACCCCTTTGGGGGTTGAACGACCCTTTCACAGGGGTCGCCTAAGACCATTGGAAAACACATATATAATTACATATTGTTTTTGTGATTAATCACTATGCTTTAATTATGTTCAATTTGTAACAATGAAAATACATCCGGCATATCAGATATTTACATGACGATTCATAACAGTAGCAAAATTACAGTTATGAAGTAGCAACAAAAATAATTTTATGGTTGGGGGTCACCACAACATGAGGAACTGTATTAAAGGGTCGCAGCATGAGGAAGGTTGAGAACCACTGGTCTAGGGCTTGCTGCTGCTGATGTCCATCTTGAAAGAGAAACCTTTCAATGACAATAGTGTTAGTCTGCTGACGATTCCTCAGCCTCCCTCACACACTGACAGGAGAAGAGTTTCAGCTCTGAGATGAATCCCCAGCCTGTTCTCTGGGGCTTTCACCATGAAAAGGAACCATCTGCCAGTCTTCCCTGTGACACCTGGCCTCCCGGGGACCTGCCCCATGAGTGTCAACAATCAGCACTCATTTTACTGATGATATGAATGATGTGGTTTCAATAAAACACATGATGGCCTGGCTGGTGTGGCTCAATGGATGAGCATCGACCTATGAACCAGGAGGTCACAGTTAGATTTCCCGGTCGGGGCACAATCCTGAGTTTCAGGCTTGATCCCCAGTAGGGGACATGCAGGAGGCAGCGGTGGTGGGGAAGATTACTGATTACCTCACTCCCACCCCACAATAGTGAGGCAAGCTTCAGCCCTTTAGAATATGCCCTCCTATCTCCCCAGGGACTTGTACACCTTCACAGAAGGTCTCCCGCTTGTGATCAGGCCATGCAAGCCCCTGGGCGTCCTTCATCTAGGCTGCACTTGATACTTGGGTCACTTAGGAGAAGTCCATACCTGAGACAGTCAACTCCTACTTAGCTTATGCTGCCACCAACTCAGTACTAAAGAAACAAAACTTTCCCATCTCCTATTGGAACTTCGTTTTAATGCCAAAAATAAGACCATGATAGGGTAACACCTTTTCCTTGCTTCATCTTTTCTCATCTAAATTAAGATAATGTTCTAAGGTTGAGTATTGAATGTTAATTATTTTAAAGGATGTAAAGTGTCCTTTAAAAGATGACTTACCGGAATGCTAACATTTCCAAGTTCTTTGGAGTTACACATTTCAACAGGGAAGGAGTGTGAGGAAGCTCTTGGTTTTATCTGAATCTGGAAGTGATGGAATAAAATCATCAAAGAAAGGGCCTCTCAGTTATGAGTACAACCTCTTCCCTCCTTTCTATACATGGATAAGCTGAGGTTCACAGGTGTTCATTTATTTCCCCCAGAGAGTCAGCAGCAGACTGGGAGGAAAGACCAGTGCTCTTTCTACTTCCTCACTGAAATACTGGGCTGTAAATGAAGGTCTTCATTTGACTCTTATGAGGATCCCGGACAACAGAAGAGCACTCATAGCTCCCTGCCTCTTTTCCTCACTTTGCTTCAATTCACAGTCTCCTCCACTACACTTATACCCCAAATTGGACCTTGGGCTATAGTCTGCACATGTTCATAAATAAATATGGGCAGCCACCCCATTTTCTTCCACTCTTCTTCCAATCATTGGCTAGCACCACACCCCTGGGCTCCAGCACCGCTCTTGGTCTCAATCAGCCTGAGCTGGTTGCTGCTTCCAAGAGTCCTGCTATATCCAGAGAGCACTCTTCTGCTCTTTCTGGAAATACCACCACTTCTGCTAGGGATCACTGTCATGCCTGCTGGGGACTGCAGTCATGTCTGTTGGAGATCATTATTCTATCTGGTGGGAACCATACTCATGTCTACTAGGTACTGCTGTCTATCAGCTGGGGACCATAGTCATGTCTACTGGATACTAGTGCCAATCTGCTGAGTACCCTCTGATGCTTTGGATCCTGTGAGATTCTAAAGCTGTGCAGAATTTTGAAGTGCAGTTTGATAGACTGACTCTTTCCTGGTTAGGTGGTGTATATATATTTTAGGAAGTTGTGGTGGTGCCAAAGCAACACTGCCTTATAACACCCAAAAGCTTCAATGAGTTTTTAATGAAACAGCTCTGTTTGTAATTTACTTACTAGTATAACCCCACCTCTATAGGGGGTTTGACAATTAATTATTGGGAAGCTGGGCCAGGAGACAGAGCTAAGAGCTGGGCACCAATCTATATTCAGAATCTCTACTTGTGAAGTTTTATTACTGGGTCAAGTTCACATTCATCTTACCTTAGGGTAAATTTCCTCCAAATAGGCTTATTTATGGGGTAGCTACTGCTATGGCTGTCATTTATTGGGTACCTACTACATTCTAGGCCCTGTGCCAAAAGCTAATTTTACCTCACTTAATTCTTACCAAAGTCCATACTTTTTATTATGTTTCTATTTTACAAATGAGGAGTTGGAAGCTTGGGGTGGATACATGACTTTTCCGAGACCACACTGTTAAAATTTAAACCCAGACCTGTGGAATTCTCTTACCTATCCTATGTGCTTGGCTATGGCTAAATCCCAGAGGTGGGCAGAGATAGGATTCAACGTAGGCCCCTTCATGTGCAGCTAAGGAGTCCCATGGATGCCAGCAATGGTGTAGTGGGGGGTGGGGGACGAGGCAGAGGGAAGAGGAGAGAGGATCTTTGGCAGAGTCGAGTGCTGTGCAGGAGAGTCTAGGATGAGGTCCCAGTGGAAAGACTGACTAGAGATTTCCTGAAGATACCTTTTAATCTGAAGATATTAACACCACAACTTCAGTAGGAATGAAGTTTCCTGAGCTGTAAACTTCGGTCTTAGTTTCACCATACTTGTGGGTGGAGATGGAGACTTTCTCACTAGGCATGTTTAAGTTATTAGTTGTGGAGTCACTCAGATAGCTTCAAGTGATGGATGCTGGAGGTCAGGATGCTGGGGCAAGAGAAGCACAGGCATCTACAGCCCTGGGGAGTGGGGGGCTGTCTCGGTAAGAAGCCCTGGGGCTTCATAAGCATCTTAGCTTCAACCTGTGGTTGGAATTTGCCCTCAAAGAAGAAAACAAAGCACTTTCAGGAGCCCATTGGCCATTGCAGAAGTCAGAAATTGGTCGCTCGTCTCCCTCAGATTTTGTCTCTACAGTTTTACTATGATTTCCTGTTCCTGTACACTGGCTCCTCTCTCTGTCATATTCCAACTTCATGAGAGAATCAGTTGGCTGTTTAGTCCCATGCTACTTAATACAGTGCTGCTATTGGTAAGAATTTTATTACCAGGTTTCTTCAGAGGCTGCTGATCTTGTGCTTAGCATATAGATGGCGCTTTTCATAATAGGTTCCAATCCCTGGTCCAGTCAGTGGCAGGATCTTGTCCAGCTGTTTTGTTTAGAAAGAGGGGAAGCAGGCATTTAAGCTTTTCTTAGTTTCCTTTCTTTCCACACACCATTATTATGTCAAATACCCAAATACCACTAATAGAAAGTAATAAATTTGTATTAGTGCTATCTGATTTGTGTCTGATTTCAGTCAATATAATTACTGTTTTTTTTATAGAAGCAGAATCACATTTCAGTACCTTTTATATTCTACATTAAGTGACTTGCTCTGATATGTAGAAGGTCTTAGAGAAGCATCTAATTCCAGAGGTAGAAATAGAAATAGAGCTCAAAGTCAGATATTGCTTCATTTAGTTCTCGTGACTTGGGGTTTCGGGGAACAGGAACCCCTTTGTACAGAGCTCTGGGGAATCTGTGATGGCTCATTCGCAAAATCTAAGTTTGGTGTAGTCATCATTACTCAAGACATCACCTCTCAGTTCTTGTCCCATTTTTAGCTCTCTTTCTGCCTCTGGGCTTTGTGGGTAGCTTCTTCGGTAAAATAGTTTTTGATTTAAAATAGTCAATAAACGGAATAAACTGAAGCAATGATTTTCCTTCCCTTTTGCAATTGTTCCCCAATGTCCACTCTCTCCTTCCTTCCTCTTCATAGCTGAGCATATTGCCTCCATCCGGGGACTGTATTTCCCAGTCGACTTGGCAGCTATGGTGGCCGCCCTAGGAGTTCTAGATAATGAGATGTAAGTTGAATGGGTTTCTGCAACTTCCAGGTTATATCTTTTCATAGCTGCTGTGTTGTGCTGCCACCTAGCCACCTGGAAGGTTATTAGTGACAGCCATCTTTGGGAATTGCCTCAGCTGAAAAGAGCTGACTCATCCAAGGCCATGCCCCGTTCCTGGAGTAGCTTGAGTCTGGTCAAAGGACAAAAAGGCCCAAATTCAAATCCCAACTCTAAGGGCCATGTCTTCATCAGTGTTCCCCAAAAGGTCAGTTGAGACCTTAAGACTATCCTGTGGCTTAACTTCTCCCTCTCCCCAGTTAGGCTTCCTCCCCCTTCTTCTCTAACCCCCACAGGTGTTGATCTCAGGAGTACTCCCTAAGGAACCTCCTACACACTAATACACACCACAGAGCCTGTTTCCTAGGAAACTCACCCTGTAACACATCTTTAAAAGAAAGCTATTTGCCCACCTCTCTGCTTACCTTTCTACAGGTTGGAACACAAGGAGGGTGGTGGTTGTTAAGCCCAGATTTCAGGATCCCCAAAAGACCACCAGGGAGCGTGGTGTCCGATGCAAAAGCAGATAGAGTCTTTATTCGAGCTAGCTCGGCTCCCTGACCACACTCACTGACGCAGCGGCAAGCGGCAGAGAGAGAGCTAGCTCTGTGGGAAGAGGGGTTTTATAGGAGGGCTGGAGTAAGGGGAAGAGAGAGGACTGTGGGTCCTGCCGATTGGCCAGGTGCAAGTCGGGGTCTTGTTACACAGGATGTGGTTGTGTCTATGGCGCGCACTTCCCTTGATCGTCATTGGTTAGTTTAAATAGCAGAGGCTTGGGCTTCCTGGGAGAAGCTCCTTGCCGAGCACATGGCTGATGGCTACTGCCTAAATATGGAGGATTCGGGGTAAGATGGAGGGCGTAGCCCTCGCCCTCTCAGTGGTGAGCCAGCTTTGATAAGGAGAATGACTGCAGAGCAACAAGATAGAAAGTAAAGGGTGTCCCAAAATTCACGCAAGATTTGAATTTTGTGTGAGCATTAACAACAACAAAAAATAAAAGCCTAATTTTAGTTGGTTTATTGAATCAGATTCTAATATCTGTTGCCTTTTTATTTCAATCCCTTTAATTTGATAAGCATTACCAAGTACCAATTATGGCCCAGGAGCAGGGGCAATGAAGATCAATGAAGACCACGGCTTTGTGTATGTGCCAGCAAATCTGTGAAGCCCATTTACCCAATGTGCTATTCCATACATAACCCTATACTGTATACTTTACAATTTTTAATTATAAACCTGTGTTTTCTATCAAAATTACTTCTTGTGTGAATTTTGGGACACCCTTTACTTGGGTCAGTGGATGACTTCATGGATCAAGCTCTGCATGAATCCTGGACCACTGACCATCTGCATACTTCTAATCTGTTATGAGAGAGATTGGTCAAATTTGTTTTATTTGAGCTATTCTATTTTGGGGTCTATATATTAGAGGAGCTTACCCTAGGAGTTGGGGAAAATGATCTATTCCTGTCAGATAATTTAGAACCTTGTAGACTGCTGTAAGGATTCTGGATTTTATCTTAAGGGCAATTGATCTTTGCTGCATCTTTAGGCATCATTTATTTTGTCTAAAGAAAGAACTGAGGACAAGAACTGAGTTTCTTCACCCTTACAGCAGAATTGCCTTGACATAATAGGAATACATCTCTTACATTTAGTTAGAACGACTCAATTAGCCTGGCTAGTGTTGCTCAGTGGTTAAGCACTGACACATGAACCAAGAGGTCACTGGTTCGATTCCTGGTCAGAACACATGCCTGGGTTGAGGGCTCAATCCCCAGTAGAGGGCATGCAGGAGGAAAATTAGAATGACTCAATTAAAAAAATTTTTTTAAAAATATATTTTATTGATTTTTTACAGAGAGGAAAGGACAGAGATAGAGAGTTAGAAACATCGATGAGAGAGAGACATCGATCAGCTGCCTCCAGCACATCTCCCATTGGGGATGTGCCCGCAACCCAGGTACATGCCCTTGACCGGAATCGAACCTGGGACCCCTCGGTCCGCAGGCGGACGCTTTATCCACTGAGCCAAACCGGTTTCGGCTAACAATTTTTTTTTGCATTATCCTCACAAAATATGAAGTTGTAGATTTAAAACTAATAAAGGCAGAATAAGCAGTTCATGCATTTTCTTTGGAATTTTCTTTGAACTACTGTTCTTTTGAGTCTCTCTTCACTGGAAGTGGATTTGATTTTTCACTCCAATCTGGCAACCATGCAGAATTTGAGTGGAAAATAGGATTAGAACTGAAAATTCCTTGCAGGAAGGAATGATTAGTGACTCTCTATATACAAACAAAGAACAGTAATTAGAGTCACAAGGACTTGAAAGGTTAATGCTTTAAAAACTTCTCTATAATATGCATAACCACATTACCTTTTTGGTTTAGACAGCAAACTAAATTCATATGTTTTCTTGGGGAAAATAAAAGCAACAGCACCTTAGCAAAATTCCCTGTCAAATTGTTTTCTGAAAATCATGTCGTAAACAGTTTCCCACTCTGGTTCTCTACACATCTCTTGGCAATTTGTTTGTTTTGGACACACACGCATGATTATTCAGCTAGGTGGTCTAGGTTGGAATTTCACTTACTGCTATCCAAATAAAACACTCCTTTTCCAGAAATCAGCAGACTCTGTACTAACTGTTCTTTCAGAGCCTGGATGAGACTATGCTGGGAATCAGAGCCTTCTCACAAGTACTTCCTACGTCCTTTTCCTCTCAAAAGCCCTTGAGAAGCAGGACCTTCTCTACAGTGCCTCGGATTCCAAAGCAATCCCACATCCGCCAGCTTTGCAACCTCTCAACCACTTCCCATCAGTTCTCATTGGTATCTCTCCCAAGGTGCTGTAAAATGAAACCAGAGTTCTAACCAATTAGCTCAGTGGACAGAGTGTCGGACTGCAGGTTTGATTCTGGTCAAGCTCTTGTGTATGTGTATGAAGGAGGAAAAGGAAGAAATAAAGAAAGAAAGTAAGGAAGGAAGGAAGGAAGGAAGGAAGGAAGGAAGGAAGGAAGGAAGGAAGGAAGAAAGAAAGAAAGAAAGAAAGAAAGAAAGAAAGAAAGAAAGAAAGAAAGAAAGAAAGAAAGAAACCAGAGTATGGCTTTCTCTTCTGTCTTCAAGTCCAGGACAGGCTAGTGTTCTATTAAAATACATGTATCACACTACTTAAGTTTCCTCCCTCAGAACAGTGGTCCTCAAACAGGGTTAATTCCCCCACCCCCCACCCCACGCCACACACACACCCCTCCCCCATCCAGGAGTGTCTGGCAATGTCTGCAGATATTTCTGGTTGTTACAACTGAGGGATGCTACTGGCATCTACTGAGTAGAGGCCAGGAATGCTGCTGAACATCCTGCAATACATAGAATAGCCTCACAACAAAGAATTATTTGGTCCCTGCCCAGCTGGTATGGCTCAGTGGTTGAGCATTGACCTATGAACCAAGAAGTCACAGTTTGATTTCCAGTCAGGGCATATGCCCAGGTTGCAGGATCGATCCCCAGTGCAGGGCATGCAGGAGGCAGCTGATCCATGATTCTCTCTCATCATTGGTGTTTCTGTCTCTCTCTCCTTCTCCCTTCCTCTCTGAAATAAATAAAAAACTATATTTTTTTTAAAAAAAGAATTATCTGGCCCCAAATGTCAATTGTGCTGATGTCAAGGAACTCTGTTTCAGTGAGATATAAAATTATTTTCCAAATTACTTGTCTATCATGTACTTTGGATTTTATTCAGGAGCAGTATTTGAAAACAGAATTTGCCCCCTTAGATTATAGTTGCCATATTTAGGAAGTAAAAATACAGGAAGCTGAGTTAGATTTTTTATGAAAAAAATCATCTGTTATTCATATGAAATTCAAATTAACCTGGGCATCTTGTATTTATCTGGCAGCCCCACCTTAGTTGGAGACACTTGCCTTAATTTTTCACTGCTGGAACTGCTTTTATGTCTTTATTTAAAGCACAGATTTTAATGAAAAGATGCTCACTGGTTTAAAAAATCTTTTATGTTAATGTGGTATGTAAACAAGCTAATCATCTTTCAGAAAGACTATATTACTATGAGCACAGCCTGAGATTATCTTTAGTTTCTTCTTTGAAAAGTCTATCAATCTGATTTTTGTTAACATTGATGTGATATAATAAACATTTTTATGCTCTTATGCTCTGATAGGAATGGTCCACATTTATTCTGGACCTAGGCCCAATTTGTCCTAAGATTTTACCCCAAATATACAAATCAGAGTC